TTTGAATCCTTTATCACATAGTTGGCTTATACTTATCAGGTTATATGTTAACCCTTTTACAAGTAACACATTATCAAGCTTAGGAACTCCTGAATAGTCAAGCTTGCCAACACCTTTGATTTCTCCTTTTGCTCCATCACCAAAAGTCACATAACTGATGGAATGAGATTTAACATCCACCAACAGATTCTTGACACCTGTCATATGTCTAGAACAACCACTTTCAAAGTACCACTGTCAAAGTACTAGAGAGGTATGAGCAATGAGACTTCTAACATTGGATTTGGGAACCCAATATTTCTTCTTTTTGTTGTTTTGGGGAATCTTATCATTTTTGGGAGGAGGAGAATTTTTAGGATACCCATACATCTTGAAACAGAAGGGCCTTATATGTCCAAGCCTTCCACAGTGATGACATTTCCAGGGCTGGGGATTCTCTCTAGTGTGATTAATCTTTTCCTTCCCTTGATGTCCTTTCTTATCATGATGTTTGCCCACATGTTGAGACATATGATTCAACATCTTTGGTTTAGCCTTGGCATGTATGGAAACAAATGCAAACTGTTTGTCATGATGTTTATTCTTTATATAATGTCTTCCATAATGTCCTTTCTTACCATAATATTGAGACATTTGATTAGACATATTTGGTTTAGGCTTGGCATGAGTGGAAACAGATGAAGGCTCTTCTGAGTTAGGTTCCTTTTTCTCATTGAAACCTAAACCACTCTTATCTCCTGTCACTCTTCCTGCTTGGAGAACTTCATCTAATGTGTCAGACCCATTATTTAGCATCTTGAGAGATTTGACCATTCTATCAAGATTTGAATTTATAGAGGACACTTCACTTTCCAGATCAGAAATAGTTTTAAGATGTTCTTTCTTTTCCTCCTTCAGCTGAGTTATAAGGGATTTCTGTTTCTCACCTTCAAGACATACTTCTGCACTTCTGAGACATACTTCTTTGTATGAAGCAGCTAAATCATCAAAGGTTAGTTCCCCATCACTAGACTCTTCATCAGATACATATTTACCTGTCAATGCTTTCACATATTTGGCAGATTCTTCAAGATCACTCTTTGAGTCCTCTTCATACCAAGTAACAGATAGATTCTTCTTCTGTTTCTTTAGATATGTAGGACATTCAGCTCTAATGTGACTAAAGCCTTCACATTCATAACATTGTATTCCCTTCCCTTGAGAAATTTTTTCTTCAACCCTTTTTCTTCCCATGTCAGATGGGATTTTCCTTACATTTGACCTTTGGTTCCTATCCATTTTTTTATCACTTTATTAAATTATCTTCCAAGCATATCTAGGGCATTTGATATTCCTCAATTTGTATTCAGATCATAGTTCTCTTCTTCATCTTCAGTATTAGATACAAAGGCTATGCTTTTATTTTTCTTCTCAGATCTTTCATTTATGCTCAATTAAAATGTTAGAAGGGATCCAACAAGTTCACCCACTTTCATTTTGTCAATGTCTTGGGCTTCTTCTATAGCGGTTACCTTCATATCAAATCTCTTGGGAAGAGACCTCAGCATCTTTCTTACCAATTTGTCTTCAGGTATTTTCTCTTCTAAAGCACTGGAGGCATTAGCAATTTCAAGGATGTTCATATGGAAGTCATTTATACTTTCATCATCTTTCATCCTTAAATTCTCAAATTTTATAGTGAGCAGCTGAAGTCTTGACATCTTAACTTTAGATGTGCCTTCATGAGTAGATTAAAGAATTTCCCATGCATCCTTAGCAACTTCACAAGTATTCACCAATCTGAAAATATTCTTGTCAATTTCATTGAATATAGCATTCAAGGATTTAGAATTTCCAAGAGAAATTTCATCTTCTTCCTTAGACCAGTCTTCTTCTAGTTTTAATTCAGAAGTAGGTTCTCCATTTTCTCCCAATTTGACAGGGTGTTTCGATCCTCTTAAAACAGCTTTCCAAGCTCTGTTGTCTAAGGACTTTAGAAAGGAAACCATACGTAGTTTCCAATAGTCATAATTGCTTCTATCCATAATGAGTGGTCTGTTCACAAATCCTCATTCCTTGTCCATAGTACAAGAAAGTATCTTCCTTGGATCTCACCCAGATAAAGAGCAGGATGCCTGCTTTGATACCAATAGAAATTCTGGTATCAGATATGTGATGTCGAAAGAGATGTCACGACAAAAATATCTATTTGCAAGTAAGGTGCAGTAAAATCAAAAGCAGTAAAAACACAAGAGATTGTTCACTCAGTTCAGTGTACAACAACATCTACTCTGGGGGCTACCAAGTCAGGGACATGTTCACTAAATAGTATCAATTCATAGACCCTCAGTAAACAACCAGTTTACGATCTAATCACTTAATCACTATCCAAGCTAAAATTCTATCTAAGACTCACCTAGGTATGAGGTCATCCTTAAATCCCTTCAATCACTTACCGAATTAATAAATTTGAAACACTTCAATCATTCAATGCTTAAAAGCTTATGAATAATACACAATTAACAACCCAAATAACAACTCAAGTACTTAAACTAATACTTAGACTGTATTATAAATAACAAGCCTAAACTTCTAATTAGAAAGAAAGTATTCTTCTTCAAAAATTGCTTGTCTTTGAATAAGAAAGCGAGTCTTTATATATGCGAAGCTTTGAGCTTGGGCTTGAAAACAAATATTCAAATCTTTTGAATATTTCCATAAAAACAGGTCAAGATATAATTATGCAATTTGAAAAATATTCCTCCATATTTTTCGCAACCTGTAGTTCACGAATCCTGAATTATATTGGAAATCAGGAAACAAAAGACTCAACTGATTTTGGACTGAGATCAGTTCAGTAGGCAGATGCGAAGACATCTTCTTTGACATCATTCAAAACAGTTTTGCTCCAAATGTTAAGATATTTAGAAAAATATTAACAAGTCATTGTTTTACCAAAATTGCTGCCAACAAACACTTACAAGATAGGTTTTCAAGGTCAAATATAAGCCAGATGGATCAATTGGCAAGCACAAATCGAGGCTAGTGGCTAGAGGTTTTTTCAGAAACTTGGGCTAGATTACTTTGAGGTGTTTGCGCATGTAGCTAGACATGAAACAATCAGATTGGTGATTGCTTTAGCTGTAAATAGAAATTGGCCTTTGATGCATCTGGATGTGAAGTCTGCATTTCTGAACGATCTATTACAAGAAGAGGTATACGTGTCACAACCTCCTGGATTTGTGAAAAATAATCAGGAAGAGATGGTGTATACGTTACATAAAGCTTTGTATAGACTGAAGCAAGCGCCCATAGCTTGGAATTTGAAGATTGATTCGTTTTTCAAGAAGTAAGAGTTTCAGAAGTGTGAGATGGAATATGGAGTTTATGTGCAGTATTCTGGAGGCAGTATGATTCTGGTATGTCTTTATGTTGATGACATATTGCTAACGGAAAATTGTCCAGAAAGTATAATCAAGTTCAAGAAGGTGCTGATGAATGAATTTGAGATGACTGATATGGGAAATATGGTATATTTTCTAAGGATGGAGATTCTGTACTCGGAGAAGGATATTATTTTGCATCAGCTGAAGTATGAACTTGAGCTTCTGAAGATATTTAAGTTGCAGAATTGTAAAGCTGCTGTCACACCATCATAAACCAATCATAAATTAGATTCTGATTCTGATGGTGAAGATGTGGATGCTACAACCTTCAAACAGTTGGTTGGTTCTCTAAGGTATTTGTGTCATACCAGACCTGATATTTGCTATGAAGTTGGAATGGTTAGTAGGCTCATGAGTAAACCTAAGTGGTCCCATTACCAAGTTGTTGTCAGAATTATAAGGTATATCAAGGGAACTCTGATGTTTTGATTACTATTCCCTCTGGAAGAAAGACAGACTCAGAGTTGATGAGTTACTCTATTTCTGATTGATGTGGAGATAGAGTTGATAAAAGAAGTACTTCTTGATACTTGTTTAAATTTTTGGGAGACTCTATTTCTTGGTGTTCCAAGAAGCAGTTTGTTATTGCTCTATCAACGTGTGAAGCCGAGTACATTGCAGGTGTTGTAGCTGCATGTCAAGTTGTGTGGCTTCTGAATCTATTGCAGGATCTGAAGATCAACGTAGATAAGCCTCTGAAACTGATGATTGATAACAAGTCTGCAATCAATCTTGCCAAGAATCCAGTACTACATGGGAGAAGCAAACATATTGAGACAAAATATCATTTTCTCATAAGTTAAGTCCAGAACAAAGTATTAGAAGTTGTGCACTGTAGCACCCAGAAACAGCTGGCAGATATTATGACAAAGGTAATCAAGACGGATCAATTTCTTCGCCTAAGGAATGAAATTTGTGTAGTTAGTTTTAATTAAAAATTCTAAATTAAAGAATGATATTAAAGGTTATTTTAGTATTTCTAATTGTTTTAGATAACTTAGTTATTAAGTCTATTCTACTAGGGTCTATGTGGCATTTCTTTTGTGTATAAATAGACTAGTTGTAAATGTCATAAATACAACAACAATATTTTATTCCTCTTGCAGTTTTTACAACCGTCATTCTCTCTACCTCTTAAATATATTCCTTTTGTTCATCATTGATTCTTGTGCACTAATATTTTTGTCAATAATAACATTTGATCACTTGCTTCTTTAATTTTGTCTCAGATTCAGCGATGCCCTACCATCCATTCCTTCTTGCATGGTTTCTTCATGCATATTATGAGTCTCAACAACTAGTGTTTTTTTAATTATAAACTATATTGATCACAATCATTAGCATTTTCATTTGTTGTATCTCTTACTTTCTCTACAACATAAGGTAACAGTAGAAATAGTCAACATCAAAACATTAAATTAAAATTTTGAAAGGTAAAAAGATTCATGAGTTGCTTTCAAAAACTCTAGACCTTTCTTCTTCTATCAGAAATTCCATTTCTCCATCTATAAATGCACTTCTATTTATCACTTGTGTTTCAACATAACAAAAAGTTCTCTTCATCAAATTAAATATATGGTAAAGTATACTACATAATTTCCACTCTTAGTCTATTTGTATGTTAAGTATTATTGTATTCATTTCATAATTTTAACACCAAATCTACATATTTTTTCCTAGGAAGAAGAAGCAAGAGTGCAAGTTTGGGAAGGGTATGCAGATTGGAGGAACAGACCAGCAATCAAAGGACATCATGGTGGAATGCTTGCTGCATCCTTTGTTTTGGGTTAGTACAATCCAAATTATACTTTCTTTTTTTGGATTTGTAATAACTACTAGAAACTCACATACACAATCGTCGGTAGCATGGTTCCAACCTCGGTGATGATGTCAACATAGAATATTGACTTTTGCTAGTTGAGCTAGAATTTGCGAACCAAATCATATATTTATGTCTTTTTAAGGATGCGTATGCATAACATTATTCTAAACTTTTTTTTTCTATAGCTGTGGAGGTATTGGAGAATCTAGCATATCTTGCAAATGCAAGCAACCTTGTTTTATACCTTTCCAAGTTTATGCACTTCTCACCTTCCACCTCTGCCAACATTGTCACCAACTTCATGGGAACAGCTTTCCTACTTGCTATTCTTGGTGGATTTCTGGCTGATGCTTTTTTCACTACTTATTCCATCTACCTTATAAGTGCTGCTATAGAATTCATGGTAAGTTCTTAACCTTTTCAAGCTTCTGTAATTTTTACTGTGTTTGAAGTTAATACAATTAGCTTTGCAGGAAAATGCTTCAAGACTATCAAATTCAATGGAATACAGAATACTGGCTTTGTATATCAGACACATGACAACTTAAAAAAATTGAAAAATATTAAGCTAAAATAATTGTTACTAAACAAAGTATTAGGTAGGTAATTAGTAATTACCTTATAGTAAGATATGGAAGATATTGAAGAGGGTAAATTCTAGAAGGATGAAGCAATAAAGATGCGCGTGACAACCACATGGTCAAGATTTTGATTGACAACCATAAAGTGTTGTCAGTAGTGCAATCCCCACAAGATGGGACCATTTTTCAATTCTCAACATGACCCTAAAACTAAGGACAGAAGAGAAGAAAAGAAAAAAGACAAAAGAAACATGGCCATTTTGATTTGAAATTGTTTTTACTTAAGCTTTTTCTAAAAGCTAGAATTTATCAAAATAAGCTGAAAACATTTCATAAACATGTCATAAACGGTTTCCATCAGCTCTGTCAAATAATCACACAACTTCACAAATCCTTAGATCAGTAAATAAACTCAACAAAAACAACCACCAAACTCGGTTCTATCCCGGATAAACTAAACTATGCATAGCCAGACTCTATCCCAGATAAAAGGAGAGTTGTGTTAGATGGTCGACAGCCAACGTAAAGCTTTGTTGAATCTCTATGACATCGATCAACTACGAAATAAACTCAAATAAGTTAATATAAACAAGCCCTTAATCATATCATATCAGCATAATAAGTTAATATAAACAAACTCTTAATCATATCATATCAACTTAATAAGTTAATCAAAGAAAAGGAAGCACAGGAATAACTGAATAATACAACACTTTCATGATGTTATATCAAAATTATAATTAAGTTCATTGTGAGATCACATGTTTTAAACATGAAATTACGCGGTGGGAACAGGGACTACTAATGCTTACAATACAAGCTCACATGCCACCACTCAAACCACCAAACTGTGTTAAGGGATTGGGAAGCACAAACAGTTTATGCCAGACAGTTCAAGGTGTCAAAGAAGCTATGCTATTTGCAGGCCTCTATCTTGTGGCCCTTGGAGTTGGTGGAATAAAAGGTTCACTTCCTCCTCATGGAGCTGAGCAGTTTGATGAAACTACTGCTGAAGGAAGGAAGAAAAGATCTGAGTTTTTTAACTACTTTGTCTTCAGCCTGTCATGTGGTGCATTGTTTGCAGTTACTTTTGTGGTTTGGATTGAAGACAACAAAGGATGGCAGTGGGGTTTAGGTGTTTCAACTGCATCAATATTGCTCTCCATTCCGGTTTTTGTTCTTGGTTCGCACAAGTATAGAACCAAGACTCCGGCCGGAAGCCCTATCACACCCATGTTCAAGGTATGATTTAGCGGATCTTGATTTCCTGCAGTCAGAGAAGAACATTTTTTTTACGGAAATGGATTTCCTGCAGTCATGAATTGATACATTCGAAAATTTTAACAAATGCTTACAATTTCAAGGACTAGCAAAAATGACTAACCAATCTGCTTTGAATTTGATGATTACAGGTTCTTGTGGCAGCAATTTGCAACAACTACAAATCCAAAAATTCATCAGCCAACGCTATCACCAGCATGCCAACAACTCCATCCGACGACACAATTGTAAAAGGAGATCAAGAACAAACCAACAATAGAAAAGAAGTGATGATGACAGATCAAACACCAATAACACAAAGCCTAAAATGCCTCAACAAAGCAGTAATGAAACCAGTTCACCCAAAATTAAAATGCACGGTAAAAGAACTAGAAGAAGTGAAAACTGTATTAAAAATCCTTCCCATATTCATGTCAACCATAATGCTAAACTGTTGTTTAGCTCAATTATCAACATTTTCAGTTCAACAATCATCCACAATGAACACAATGCTTGGCTCATTCAAAGTCCCTCCTGCTTCGCTACCCGTATTCCCTGTCCTCTTCATCATGATCCTTGCACCACTCTACAACCATGTCATTGTTCCATTTGCTAGAAAAACAACCAAAACTGAAATGGGAATAACACACCTACAAAGAATAGGGACAGGTCTATTTCTATCAATCATAGCTATGGCTGTTGCAGCATTAGTAGAAACCAAAAGAAAGAAAACAGCTTCGAATTCCGGGTTGTTAGACTCAACAAAACCACTTCCAATAACATTTTTATGGGTGGCTTTACAATATCTTTTTTTAGGTTCAGCTGATCTTTTTACATTGGCTGGTATGATGGAGTTTTTCTTCACAGAGGCACCATGGAGTATGCGGTCTTTGGCAACAGCACTTTCATGGACTTCGTTGGCTATGGGGTATTTTCTAAGCACTGTTCTTGTGTCTTTTGTTAATAAGCTGAGTGGGGCATTTGGACAAACACCTTGGCTGCTGGGTGAAAACTTGAATCATTATCATCTTGAGAGGTTCTATTGGTTGATGTGTGTGCTTAGTGGACTTAACTTTGTTCACTATCTCTTTTGGGCCAATTCATACAAATATAGATCTTCACCAAATTATGGATACTAGAAAATCGTTTATTGTATTGTAGCTTAATGATGGCATTTATATATAATATATCATGAGAGATATGCATGAACTAATATTAAATTGCTAATGTTATTCATCACTTGGCAGCTTGTTAATTTAATCAGTGTACTACCATATTTTATTTCAAACGCACTCTATTTAGAATTTGAATCCTCTGCTGTCATTATTTTCACACAATTACATTGTCAACAGTTTATTAGCCCTTAGATTTTGATCAGATGATCAGAAACAATAGCATTTTATAACTCTAAAAACTATCAGTTTAAACCAAGACTGTTTGATGTTAATAGGATGGCTACGATTACATGAGTGCGTGATTGCGGGCTTTTCCTACTGCAGTGAATCATGATCCCTCTATCTAAGGAAACCAAAGTGTGTGTTTAATATTTTATATGACACATACGGCTCAACACAAAGTGTTTTCCTTCATGGACGGATTCTCAGGTTACAACCAAATCAAAATGGCACCTGAGGACATAGAGAAAACTACATTTGTCACACAGTGGGGCACATTCTACTACAAGGTGATGCCATTCAGACTGAAGAACGCTGGGGCAACCTATCAACGCGCCATGGTACATCATGAAATAGAGGTCTACGTAGACGATTTGATAGCCAGATCACAAACAGAAGAAGAGCACCTTGATGACTTGCAAAAGCTGTTTGAGAGACTGAAGAAATACAAGCTGAGGTTGAATCCAAACAAGTGCACATTCAGAGTACGGTCCGGTAAACTCTTAGGTTTTGTAGTCAGTAACAAGGGTATAGAAGTCGATCCTGCCAAAGTAAAAGCAATACAAGAGATGCCCGCTTCTCGTACTGAGAAGGAAGTCATAGGATTCTTGGGACGCTTGAACTATATTGTCAAATTCATTTCTCACCTAACAGCTACTTGTGAGTCAATCTTCAAACTATTGAAGAAAGATCAAGTAGTCAGATGGAATGATGAATGTCAGGTTGCTTTTGACAAAATCAAAGAGTACTTACAAGAGCCTCCTGTTTTGATGCCACCAGTCGAGGGAAGACCATTGATCATGTATCTGACTGTTTTAAAAAATTCAATTAGGTGTGTATTGGGGCAGCATGACGAGTCTGGCCGAAAAGAGGACGCTATTTATTACCTGAGCAAAAAGTTTACCGACTGTGAAACCAGATATTCACTGCTCGAGAAAACTTGATGCGCTCTGGCATGGGCTGCTCGCCAGCTAAGACAGTATATGTTGACTCATACTACCTTGTTGATATCTAAAATGGATCCGATAAAGTACATCTTCGAAAAACCTGCTCTTTTTGGGAGAATAGCGAGATGGCAGATGATCCTAACGGAGTATGACATACTGTATACTACCCAAAAAGCTATAAAGGGCAGTGTATTGGCTGATCACCTTGCTCACCAAGCTATAGAAGACTATCAGTCCATGAAGTTTGAATTCCCGAATGAAGACATCATAACATTAGACAACTGTAAAGAAATCAGACCATATGACAGACCTGAACAAGGGTCCCGATGGACCCTGTTCTTTGATGGAGCATCCAATGCACTTGGTAACGGTATCAGCGTTGTACTCATATCTCCAGAAGGGTGTCATACTCACTTTACTGCCAGACTTTGCTTCAACTGTACAAACAACATGGCGGAATACGAAGCGTGCATCTTTGGTCTCAGAGCTGCCTTAGACTTGGGAATCAAATCCTTAGACGTGTTTGGAGATTCAGCTTTGGTCATCAGTCAGATCAAAGGGGAATGGGACACTAAGCACCCAAACCTCATCCCTTACAAAGAACATATTTTGACATTGCTACCATATTTTGAGAAGATTACCTTCGAGTATTTTCCGTGAGAAAAAATCAGCTAGCAGACGCTCTAGCCACAATGTCATCCATGTTTAAGCTTAATTGGGATAACGAGGCTCCCCAGCTCACCATTGAACGAATGGATGAACCAGTGCATTATCACGAGATTAATACTGAAGAGGTAGTGGACCAGCCTTGGTTTCATGAAGTCAAGAGGTATCTCGAGGCTCAAGAATATCCAAGAGGAGCTTCAATCAATGATAAGAAGTTCTTAAGGAGATTCTCTGCTAAATTCTTCCTTAGTAATGGCATCTTGTACAAATGCAATCATGACTCCATTTTGCTTCGGTGTGTGGATAAGGTTGAAGCTAAAAGATCATGGCTGAATTACATGAAGTTACTTTTGGCACCCACTCCAGTGGGCATACGATGGCGAAGAAAATCCTACGAGCAGGCTATTATTGGTCTACCATAGAAGCAGATTGCTATTAACACTCCCGGACTTGCCATAAGTGTCAAATTTATGCTGACAAGGTGCACGTACCTCCGGTTCCTCTGAATGTCTTGACGGCTCCTTGGCCCTTTGCTATGTGGGGAATTGATATGATTGGAGAGATCAAGCCGACAGCCTCCAATGTACATCGCTTCATCCTAGTGGCCATTGACTATTTTACAAAGTGGGCTGAAGCTGCTTCCTTCGCTTTCGTTACTAAGAATGTTGTTGCCCGCTTCATCAAGCAAAATCTCATTTGCCGGTATGGTATCCCGGGAAGGATCATCACTGACAATGGTACAAATCTCAATAACACTATGATCACCGCCTTGTAAGAGCAATTCAAGATTCAGCATCACAATTCTTCTCCCTATCGACCAAAGATGGATGGTGTTGTCGAAGCTGCAAATAAAAACATTAAGAAGATCATACAGAAAATGACAGTCACATACAAAGACTGGCATGAGATGTTACCATTCGCTCTCCACGGGTACCGTACCACGACCCATACATCAACCGGGGCAACACCCTATTCTTTGGTTTACGGCATGGAGGCTGTCTTTCCTATTGACGTTCAGATCCCCTCTATGAGAATTATGAAGGATGCATGATTGAATGAAAACGATTGGATCCAGACTCGACTTGATCAATTGAACTTAGTTGATGAAAAGAGACTTATTGCTGTTTTCCATGGTCAGATGTATCAAAAACGGATGATCAAGGCTTTCAACAAGAAAGTCAGACGCCAAGTATATCAAGTTGGGGATCTAGTGATCAAACGTATCATTTTGCCACAAAGTGGTCCCAGGGACAAATGGACTCCTACCTATGAAGGACCGTTTGTAATCAAAAACATATTCTCCGGTGGGGAAATGATCTTGACCACCATGGATGGTGACGACCTGCCACACCCTGCGAACGCAAACATAGTCAAAATATACTACGCATAAGAGACCTACTAGGTTGACACACCTAGGCAAAACAAAGGGCATCCCGGCGAACCAAAAGGTTCGGGAAAAAATTAGGGATAAAATAAAAAAAATCTGTACACCCGGCAAGTTGAAAACCCGAAAGGGCGACTTGGGCAAAAAGGGTTTCCCGGTGGACTGAAAACCCGAAAGGGAGGTCCAGGAAAAAATTAGGGAATTAAAGCATATGACTATGTCCCGTAGGATCACTTGACAGACAACCTTCAGCTTCCACTAACAAACTCATAGTTTCTGATCAATTCAATCATCTTAGGACAAGGTAAATAGATAAAATACTCAGAGATACGAAGGCTATAGCAGAATGGGAATCCCATGGGATTATTACACGTAGCTATCCTTCGCTGTATAAATTTTTCTTGTTTTACGATAACATTCTCTTACTAGAATGTTTGTCCCCTTTGTACAAAATATTTATTCAAAGTCAATACAAAGATATCCTTTTGAAAGTGCAAAAAATATTTGTCTTTTTCTTCACGCTTGTGTTTTGTTTACAAAAAACGTCCAATGATTCATTAATGAACATATGCATTTGAACATGATTATTGTTTACAAATAAACAAAATGAGGAAGACAATTACTGATAGGTTGAAAGAACAGGAAAACGTCTCTAGGCTATTCCATAAGTGATCCCCTACAGTACATCATTTAAATCCCCAGCAGAACAAAACTTCAAGTTTTTTAATCCCCAGTAGAAGTCATCAAATTTCTCAGGATTCCCCAAACAGATCTTACAAGCGGTACATGGCATTGCCCTCACAAGAGAATTTACTTCTCTCAACAAAAATTCATCAACACTTAGACTTCAGAACATGAAGACTTATATTTACTTATCCTCAGCAGCATTCAGGAATTTATTTTCCTCAATCATATAACAAAACAACAAATCGGCTCACATACGCATACATTACATCCATATATCAATAAACATTGATAAAGAAAATACATTGCATCATACATTTCATGCAAACATAACTTTGTATTTCAGCTAGCATTTTACCCTTTTCAAGATAATATTAACAGCTACCATTAACAATATGCAATCATGATACAGTACGGATACACTCCAGACACGGATGCCATTCTGATACTCATTCAGATTCAACTCTCAGATACAGTACGGATACGCTCCAGACACGGATGTCATTCTGATACTCATTCAGATTCAACTCTCAGATACAGTACATATACACTCCAGACACGGATGCCATTCTGATACTCATTCAGATACAACTTATAGATACAGTTCAGATACGCTCCAGACACGGATGCCATTTTGATACTCATTCAGACTCAACTTTCAGATACAGTACGGATACGCTCCAGACACGAATGCCATTCTGATACTCATTCAGACTCAACTTTCATATACAGTACGGATACGCTCCAGACATTGATGCCATTTTGATACTCATTCAGATACAACCTTTTAGATACAACTCAGACACGCTCCAAACACGGACACCATTCTAATAATTACAACTTACAATTCAACAATCACTCTTGGATGGCATCTACAAGCCCATCTCCGACAAGATTCTATCACTTATCCAAATGGCATCTGTAAACCCATTCCTTCTATCATCACATCATCGAGTGCAAATTTATAGGCACTCTAGTGTCCAATCATCTTCCACCTTCGAGTCTCGAATGGCAAGACTCGCTAGTCTAACTCTTCAGGTTTAAGAAGATTGAACAGGGGCAGC